GAACAATGGGATTGGGGAAAGTTAGGATTTAGAGAATTTATTGAAGAGTATTTTCCTTTTGGCAAGTAAAACATTAGAGTATTGTGTGAATGTAACAGAAATTACAGAGTTAGAAAATTTCACTTTTGGAGTGAAACCTTTTATACTTTGATTTAAACAGATACCTGTATGTGATAGTAAAGGCTTCACTGGCTCATTAAAATAGTGCCATCTAGTGGTGAATGTTTCAAATTGTACCTAGGTGCCCAGAGAGCTGTCACAAACTCTCAGGGGGCTGGGCTTAAAGATTAAGCAGCATTTGTAATTTGCTTGATTGTTTATTCATCTATTCTTTCACTTACTTTATTTATCACTTACTACATGCTGGCCATCTTTATGGATGCTGCATAGGAAGAGATGAGGAAGACACAAGCCCTGACAAGGAATCACCATCTAGCAGGGGAGACAGCTTGTGGACCAGTGATTGCAATCCAGAGATAATGGCTATTTGAGACGTACACTGGGGGCCCAGGCAACTCAAATATCACAAGGGGTTTCAATGATGCTGCTGGAAAGCCCTCCCATGCGTATTAGGGACATAACTTACAGGAAGCACAAGGGAGAGACAAGCTGTTGGAAATGTCCTCATCAAGTGCTTGTGTCAGATTCCTGACCCTGACTGTCCAGTCCCCTCCTTTGGGTTCTCCTTGTGTCTCTGGTACTTCTTCTAAATCAGGGAACTGAATGAACTTGTGGTTTGCTGCTCAGTGGCACTCTCTTCCTCGTTCATGGGCTTGACTCTTGGTTATCCACCAGCATAACTTGCTGGACACAGGGTAGTATGTTTAAAGCCCTGGGCATTTTCCAGGAACCTGTTGATAAAGTTTTCCGTGACTTATCTTGCCCTTTGCTCAATTATTATACACTTTTATTCTGCCTGAGAGGTTCTCATAAGTCTTCGTCTTTATATAACTCTATCCCTGTGCAATACGACCTGCACAATTCTTTTTCAGAGAAACACACATATTGTGTGATCTTGTTGAGGTACCTGATCTTTCTAGTCCCAAGGATTGTTTCCTCTTAAAAATCAGGCCGATAATATTGACCTACCCACCTTAGTTAGTGCTGGTAAAGTGTTTTAATTATGATTTAGTATTTTGTGCCATCTAAACACAAGCAAAAGACTTGTTATACCTCTTATTCACGAAAGTATCACTGTGTGAAAATTTGCCCTCATACTGTTTTTTGGTAGAGTTTAACACTTAAACAATTTCCACTTCATTTACTTTTTAACACCATATTCCTTGAATAAGTCTCTTTACTTTCCTTCTAATTGGTTCTTATTCGTTTCCTTAGTTTTCTCCTTCATCCTTGGCCTCTGTTATCTCCGTGAACAGTGCTTTCCATCTCTCTGCTTCTCTTGGTGTAGCGATTCTTGGCTCTCATAACTCTCACCTTGCTTTGTTTTCCTTTCTTCTTGCTTCTCCAAAGCCTTTCAATCTGTTACTTCTTTCATCTCTTCTGGTTCTTTCCATTCGACCCTTCTCTCTTTTCTGCTTCTCCTTGTGTCTCTCATTATGTTTGTTTCGCTACCTTGATCTTTTAGGTTCTATTTCATGGAAGTTTATAGGAAGTCGCTACTGATTGAGGGTTCATGTTTGGTTTGTCCCAGTGACCACTGTGGGAACGCCGTTCTGCTGCTGCGTGTGACAGGGGTAAGAGATCTTCCAGGAAGGAACAGTGAATTAATTAATTGATTCATCAGACGTGTGTGGTGTGCCTGCTGGATAACAGGCGTGGTACTGAGGGCCAAATCGGGGCAAGTATAAAGAAGGAGATGGTGCCGGCTTTCAAGGAGCTTGTATGCTAACCAGAAACAAATAGGTGAACAAATTATGATGATACAGTTATGGTTTGGGCTGCAATAGAGATAGGTGGAAAGAGTTGAGCAAGCAGAGGCCTGAAACAATGAACAGTATCTAGAAGCAGTGGGCACAAGTTCAGTGCATGCAACATTTGGGCCAGGATGAGAAGAATGTTTGCAGATTATCAGTTGGAAGTGGTTTGGGCTACTGAAGGGCATTTCAAACAGAGGTGATTTATATAAGAATGTAAACTTTAATGAATGTGGTAGGTCCAGGGAAGTGCACATGAGAGCTGCAGGGCACCTATTGGCAGAAGATGAGACTAGAGTGATGGGGAAGATACAGTTTGGTGCAGAGTCTTACATTCTGTGTAACGAGGTTAGGGAGTCCTCCTGTAAATACCGGCGAGCCATGGCTGGATGGCACATAAATATCTGGGTTATTTGCAGGTTAAGGGGATTGTGAATGGGTTCCATGAATATTTTTCAGATGTCAAATGGACAGAACAAGTGATTGATTGCATGCAGGAGGTGAAAGAGAGTGAGCATTTAGAATAGGTTTTCTTTCACCAGCATATTTTCTCACTAGGATTTGAAATTCTCCTAAGAGTTATGATCCTTTCCTATCTCACAGAGTTATTGTGAGGGGTCGAGACATTGCACACCTGCAAGACCCACACCCCAGGGAAGCCGGAACTAACATCCGGCTTCTGGAAACTGTTGCTTGCTTGCCATAAAAACCGTTGCTTGCTTGCTTGTTTGCGCCAACTTTGCATTGTTCAAACCCCTGTATAGTGGAGCTACCAGCCAACCAATCATGTTAAAAGTCAATGCATGATCCACGCGTGATCAGCCACTGCATAGCATATGCACCATAGAGATAAAAGGCACGCTGCAACCCCGGTCGGGGTCCTTGCCTACCAGAGTGGCCACTGCATTGGTGCTCAAGGCTTAGACCCTGGCTAGCCAAAAAATAAACTCCTCTTGAGTGTTTGCATCCTCGGTGTCTCTGTCTCTCTGTTGGGTAGGGTGGTGAGAGGTAGTCGACTCCCAACATTATTATCTTTTTCTAGTATATTCTTTTCTTAAGGAATCTAAAATTTGAAGTTTTTATTCAGCTACTCATAGAAACTGTTCTAAATGTTGGCCCTAAGAGTCGGTGTCCTTACCTTTGCTGGGTTGGGCAGCCTGTCTGTCCAGCAGTGGCGGCTCTGAGGACAGTCAGCGCTTCTGCTCCCCGGCTTCTGGAGGAGGCGGGGGATGGGGTGCTCTGGTGTGTGCGTGTGGTGTTGTGGGGGGAGAGGAAAGAGCCTTTTACTCCTCCTACAGGTCAGTGGCCCTGGGGGTGTTTGTAGGATGGAGAGAGGAATAGTGGATAATGTGAAGAATATTTATAGTGTCTTTATATTCAATTATTGTGTGCGGCAGGGAGGGGAAGTTAAAGGGGAGATTGGCCCTCAGCAGGCTTTCCCTTCTTGCTGTACTTTATTTTTATTTTATTTTATTTTTTTATTTTTATTTTTTTTTTATTTTAAGACAATGTCACCTTTATTCCTTAGCATATTTTAGCATCCCTGGGAAGTATTTTTTGGCTAAGCCCAATGAGATAAATTGCCAAATTATCCTCCCACGAGGATCAGCAATACTGATTACAAATGGCACTGCTTAAGCCAAGGCATGGGTTTCTTCTGCTGCTGCTTTTATTAAATTTATTTTTTATTTATTTATTTTTGAGACAGAGTCTCGCTTTGTTGCCCAGGCTAGAGAGTGAGTGCCATGGTGTCAGCCTAGCTCACAGCAACCTCAAACTCCTGGGCTCAAGCAACCCTGCTGCCTCAGCCTCCCGAGTAGCTGGGACTACAGGAATGTGCCACCATGCCCGGCTAATTTTTTCTATATATATTAGTTGGCCAATTAATTTGTTTCTATTTATAGTAGAGACAGGGTCTTGCTCTTGCTCAGGCTGGTTTCGAACTCCTGGCCTCGAGCAATATGCCCGCCTTGGCCTCCCAGAATGCTAGGATTACAGGTGTGAGCCACCGCGCCCAGCCCTTGCTGTACTTTAGCTAGACCAATATTGAAATTGCTTTATATTTCTCAGATTCAAATGATGAGATAGGGGAAGGAGATGTTAAACTGTGATAAATTTTGTGGAGGCTTATGACCAGGTTAGCATTCTTCTTTCTCAGGAGGATTCATTAAGGGACAATTATGCTGAATTAGCATAGGACCTAACACTGTGGCTTCAGAAATAAGCAACGTCAAATTTGGGACCCAGTAGCACTCGCCCCCTTTTTCCTACACTAGCCCATCCCCAACCTGTCAGGTTCAGTTTGAGATTTTTGGGTTCCATGTTTCTTTTTCCTTTTTGGAGGGTCACACAAAACTCATGAACCCTTTGGATCCAACATTCTCCCTACACATCTTCAATGTCTTAGGTACATAAGCCATTGTTTCATCATGTGATATAAAATATTTTCTGGAGGCAACCATGCCCTTGTCCTGAGTATCCATCTTCATTAGGTGTGTTAGATGGGTTGCATTAATCATCCCAATTCTACACCCTTTCTGTTTCTGTGGACTTTGACATATTGCTTTGTAATTTTTTTCACAGGAGTTTATTTCTCTTCCCTTTGATTCTGAGTTTGGCCACATGACCCTCTTTGGCCAATGGAATGTTGTAATAAAGAGTGCGACTCCAATTTTGATGTTAGACTGTTTATAGGAGTCTTTCCACCCTTCTCCTCCCCACCGCCGTACTTTAGACAAAGAAACACACATATACCTCCTGACTTCTTGGCCTTGTGGGGGAATTTGAACACCCTCACCCCCTTAATAACCCTTTCTCCATCCCCTCCCCCCCCCAGCCACTGTAAAGGCCCAAGCCCTCTTGGCATTCCTGGCTGTCTTGTGTCTACACTGCTCCCCACAGAAGTCCCTTGTGTAAGCAATAGCCTTTCTTTCAAATTCTCTTGGTGTGTGAGGTGTCATCAGTCTAGACATCATCCAACTTATTGATTGGGGGGAGGGGTCCAACCCACTTTCATAGGGTGACTACAAACTAAATGTTAATCTATATGATACTTGCAGATGGTTGGGAAAAACGCTCATATGCCTTTGCTTCCACTGTTGCTCCTCTGTCATGGCCGGGAGACTGTGCCTGGGTGAGCCTGCTAGAGATGGAACATGGAGTAGTGCCCGGCTACCCCGTCACCTCAGTCAGCAGACCAGCCAACAGGTCAGTCAACAGACAGCTGACCCCAGACATGTGAGTAAGCTCAGCTAAGATCCGCAGAGCCTCCTCCTCAGTCCTCAGCTGACTGCAGAAGCACGGCGAAGGCCAGGCAAGATCAGCCAAGGCCAGCTGAGATCAGCTGAACCGCCAAACTTGTGAGCTAAATACGCATTTATTGTTGTATAACACTGAGGTTTTGTGGTTGTTATGCAGCACTGTTGTGGCAGTCGACAACTGAAAAGTCAAGCATAGGGACTTCTAGACTGGCCCTGGGGTAAATAATACAAAGTCTCCAAACTTTAGCAACTTTCATTGAAGTCAGCAAGTCTGAAAATTAAACAAAGGATTATAATGTAGCTCATATTTAGCCCTTTGCCCCTATTTTTAAGAGTTTATTTTGTTTAATTTTTTTGTGCTAGGACTCTTAATAAGCAATTCAAAAAAAAAAGCCTTAAGTAAGATTAGCAATTTGCACCTTTTAAAAAATTAACAGCACTCTGTTGTTTTGATATTGAGCTCCATTATCAATTTGCATCTTTAAAGAGGTGTAACCTTTCTCAGATATTTTGCTTGGCGTTCTTATATTTAACTAGCAAGGCTTGATTTTTACATTGCTTATGTTGCATATACTTCTGTACAATTAAAACAAGGGGAGAAGAAGAAAAAAATCCAATGCTCAAGAATTAGAAGTATGGTATAGATTTCTGTAACCCAGGTTATTCTGGAATGATGAGTGATCCTGTCAAGAAATAGCTCTATATGTTAATAAAGGGAAAATGTCCCAGAGTTTCAGGAAACATATCAACAAAAATTTCTGCATGCTTGAATGGTTGCAGACCATATGTTCTCATTTATGACACTAGCTCCCGGGAACAGTACAACCTCAGCCTGCTATGGAGTCCTGAACTCTCCCAGCCATCCTCACTGATTATCTCCTTCCTTCCACACTGTCTTGCCCTGTCTGTCCAAAGTTCCCATGTTCCACAGCCAGACTCTACTAAGCAACACTCCAAGGTGCCTCACAGACAGGAGGGGACAAGCCTGCACCTCAGTGTCCTTTGCTTTCCACTGGTATCTTCTCTAGAAAGAAGATTCAGGTTGGTGGCAGTGAAATCCCTCTTTATTTGATAAAAGTACACCAAGCATCCTTTCTTTGATTAGAAAAAAAAATACTAGCCATGTTGCCTCATAGAAGGATATCTACTTAAAAAACTATATATTTAGTAATTAACCTGTATTTTTTTTTCAGTTACACCAAGCTATGACACACTTCTACTTCTGGACTTTAGTTTGAACCCAGTGTATTTGATCAAACTATGCACTAAACCAATGTATTTTATTTTTTTTAACAATGGACCCATGAGAACCAGAACCTAACCTATATATTTTCTCAATTTCCTGAGCTGGAGCAAAACCAGAACACCAACACTTTCTTGAACTGAGCTGATATTCTACTGAGCTAAATTCCTATTGAGATCCTAGTGAGGTGCAGTGATTCTTGGTCACTTTTCAGAGTTCTGTGTGAAATCTAAAAGCTCTGATTTTATTCTAAAATAAAGCCTGTTGTACCTTGAATTAATTGTTCTTTCTAATGTTATAAGTGGAAAAGATGGGTCACTCATTGCAGAGGAGAAAAACATGAAGCATTTAGGCAGACTATATGTTTGTCTTCACCATGTAATCTAAATGGTTTGTTAAATCTGGCTTTTGACTTCAGTCCAGGCAGGTTGCCATGGGATGCATGAACATGTTGTCCCCTGTGGCAGTGTTCTCTAGCTATCAATGTGGTGCTTTCTCTGGGGAACTTGATCCTGGAAATCTCTAAGGGATATTCTTTAATTTCTAGTTTATCATTAAAGTATAGTCAAATGGTCTTTAATTTTTAGCTCGTACATTTCTGTAACTCAAAGATTGAAAAAAATGATATCACGTCTCATGGAATTCAAAGACATTTTAGCTACACTGATAAAACGCGTATGTTTAACTTAACAAAATTTTTCATATAATTATATTAAAATGTTATTTTATATTTTTTCATATACTTAACTTATTTATTCTTCCAAAGATAACATAGACAGCCTTTCTTATATAAATTGGAAAATTCAAAGAGGAGTGAACATTTAAGATGTCAAGGGTGTATAAGCATTATTATATGAAATGGCCTATGTTTGAAAATTTAGGAAGAGAAAAAGAATTATGAACAGTAAAGGTGTAAAAGGAGGTAGGGTAATGGTGAGTAGGATTTCCAAAAATAGTAGACTGAGGAAGCATTAATAAACTGGCTTCTGGTGCAGCAGTGAGTCACAGGGCAGGCAAGAGAAAGATGTGGTGGTCTCTCTGAGGTGGTTCTGCCTGCTGCTCCTGGTTTTGGTTTCAGGCAACCACTGCTCTGATTTTTAATTTTCTTATTTGATGTTTTCTAAATTGCAAAATAGTTCATTATAGTTGGTACCTTATCTGTATTCTTTTTTGGTCATTATAAGCTAGAATGAATGTCATATGTAGCTTCCTAAGGCTCTATTAGATAGTTATCTATTAGAGAGGCAGAAGCTTAGGAAGTCGGAGGCAGGAAATACCGTGACTAGATAAAGTGGAATAAAGCATTTGGAAGAAGGTGTAGATGGCAGTGTGTGGTACAATTGGAATGGGAAGGAAGAGGAACTTAAAATTCTGAGCTCAGCATGGTAGTACACACCTGTAGTCCCAACTACATGGGAGGCTGAGGCAGGAGGATTGCTTGAGCCAGGAGTTCGAGACCAGCCTGGGCACATAATGAGACTCCATCTAAAAAAAAAAAAATTCTGATAATAGGTATTGGTTCAGTGAAAATGTCATTTTATTTTCTCATTGTTGAGCTTTTTTTAAGCCTCTGAAGAACAGCTGAAGAATAAGGAGATAACTAAGAGTCCTGGTTCTTATTTGTCATGGACACTCGGCCTCCTTAAATGTTGTTTTGGTAGTTTGGGCAGCTGTTATGGATGTGACTCTCATGTCGTCAGGGTTTTTCCATTACAATATGGCAACATGACCATAAGATGTGGTGAGGTCAGTATGAAATTCATTAATATCAGTGACCAAGGGCACAGCCAGGATCAGTAGGTACTAAGGGCTCTGAGTCCCTCGGTCGATCCTTGTGGTTTTCTTCATGCTTCACAAGTATTATAGTTAGGAATAGACTACTGTACTTCATTTTGGATAACAATTACCAAAAGTTTCATGTTACTTTATGAAAAGCTCAAAAACTATGTCACTGGCCTGAAGGCAGGCCCATAGTACTGAGATATTTTGTCGGGTTTAGGCCTACCCACGTAGTACACATAGGTGTAGGATACTCTTGGACTATGAGCTGTGTTATATAATGCCTGAATTGTTAGGAGTTGATTTTCAATAAGGGAAACTGGATCTAACACGCAATGAGAAGTGGTTTGGCTCTCATCAGGGTTCCTAGGGAGAGACTGGCACCAAGAAAGTTCTGAAAGTTATGACAGAGGGCTATTGATTCCAAATATTAGTAGGATTCAGATTATTTGAAAACTGAAATGGAAAAAGACTCAAACATTCTTTCTACATAAACTGAAGGCTGATTTTTTGGGGGTCACTTATACACCTATGCATTATAATTTCATAAGCCTTGGCCACAAGGATGCACAATAAAACAAACAAGTCATACCCAAAAAAGTTTGTAATCTTCACCTTGACAGGCACCAGAAAAAGGTGGGAGCTAATAGTAGTATCTGACTGCCTAAACATGGAAGCATGAAATAACTGAAAATACAAGAAGAGAGAAAGTCTAGAAGTATTTGACTTCATCTTATTTTTTAAAGCTAGCTTATCATAATCATGCACCATGTTCCCTTGGACCAATAAAAATAACCAGCAGATATTATAATGATGTTTTTGTGTGACTGTGCAAATAGTAGAGATTTATGCTGCCGCCCCCATAGGCAAATTCTCTTTTTTTTTTTTTGCCTCATCTGCAGGAAGTGTCAGAGGTAAAATGAGATTGACCTGGCCTAGGAGGTCACCCAATTTAGTCAGTGCTCGTACATCAGTATTAGCTAAATGGGGGAAACATGTTTGTTATCCAGTCTAGACTAGAGAGGAGAGAGAACAGGGCCGAGAATGCCTTGGACTTCAGAAGCCCACTAAACTATTATTTCATGGAGAGGAGTGGGAAGGTGGTGCCTGAGTTCCCCAGAAGGAAGTTTATCCGCTGGGATGTAGGTTTTAACAGCAACAGCAGCCACATGGTAGGCTTTTGGCTGGAGAGTAGAGAGGCTCCCATTACATCTCTTGGGATGGTGGGAAGTGTTGCCTTTTGAAGTTTCACTATGAGGACCCAGGATAAGTGTGTTATTCTGTGTTGATCTGGCAGCTGCTTCAAGCCTTTTTTTTTTTTTTTTTTAAACAAAGTAAGGTAAAATAACTAAGCAAATATATATCCATATCAAGGTTATCTGGAAGGCACAATTTTATCCAGTGTCTTATCTGGTATTCCTTGCAACTCTACCACACCTAGGGAAATTTCTCTCAACTTTCTTTATTCTTAAATCCTTGTATAAGTGCTCTCACCATGTTGGCTCTCTGTACTACAGGGTAGTACCTACCCGATAGACAGTAAATATACTGCTCTGGGGATGAATTTCAAATGTGGAGTCTTCTAGCAAATTTGGAACTTAGACAAGTATCTTCTCCCATTCCTACTTTTTATTCCTTATAATTTCTGAGAAACTTTCCTGCCAGCAGACTTCTCAGACAGTGACAAACTGAATCCTCATTAAAACAAAGAAAGGTTAAGGGGAAAAAATAACCTATTTAAAATGAGGTAACTCACCAGTCTTTCAGCTATAAATTGACAATAGGATTTATATAAATCCATAATTGTATCTCTTTTACCTGCAGTTAGGCTAGTTAATGATGAAAAAAGTATACAGCTGATCGTGTGGCTTTAATGAGGATTCTTTTTACAGAGTTAAAAAAACCACCAAATTAAATTCTGCCAA